AGCTTTTCCAAAAAGCAAAGACATTATTGATTCTTCGAGACTTGTGCTATCGAAAGAGTACTCACACTCTAAGTGAGGATTTTTGTTCAGCGAAATATAAGCGAGATAAGGAAGAAAAAACACGTGGTAGCATGAAATATAGTACTATTTTGGATTTTACAGCATTACAATAGAGTGTTTTAGAAAGCTCATCGATAGGGGCTCTAGCCGAAAATCTTAGCTCTTGAACGATTGCTAACACTCCCATGAAAAGTTCCTGTCCAGCGAATGAGGCGCTTTTCCTCTTGTCGCCACATAATGGACAAGTACCGGAGCGAACTTTGGAATTATTCAGCAACGGCAACTGAAATGATGGTTTAGTGGTGAATAGGTTAAATTTTGTTTCTTTGAACAACATTGAAAATCATTGGAGCGAATGAACAAGCGATCGTCATGTGACAACGGAATGTCCAAGTGAAGATAAACAACTCCCGAAATATTTCATAAAATTTCATTGACGTAAAGAAATAATCCAGTCCTTGTTGAACCTTTTTTCTAAGCCATACCGCCATCCTTCAACTATCAGTCTGTCACTCCTGCTGACTAAAAACATCGTAAACGACAAGCACCAGCAGGTTGAACAAAGTTGCTGATGTCAAGTCTGTACAACAACATGGTTACGGTAAATATTGTGCTTCTGGTACTTGTATTTATATAAGCACTAAGGGGGAAGATGAATCTGTCTGTAAAAACGACCAGTGGTTGGCTCAGATCTGAAGTGGGTCGATGTTGATGATGTACGGTTCCTCGCTGTACATGTATATCTTTCTGTGCTTGATAAATAGGCAGATGAAATTTCTATCAGAAAAGAAAGACGATATTTTTCACTATTTTGCTAGATTTAGTGAATACCCTGGCCATGTATCGGAATTCCACCGTTCATGTTATCATTATAGTGCCAGTGGAAAAAGTGGATTTTCTATCCCATCCCTTTGGCTTTTATCATTATTACAGCTTTTCTCCACGTAGATCTTCTTCTATCGCTACTCTTTTGAATTTTACATAGATGACCACCACTTAGTGGTCGTATGTGGGTCATGTGATTGATCACATTATCAATTGATTACGAGTTTTTGAGGAATGGAGTATCTTTCAATGATATTGAATCTTAGTTTTCTCAGCAGCATCGTTGAGGTATTGAAGTGACCGATGGTATTCTTATCAATCTTGCCAGGGATATAACTTCCTTAATAGTCAAGTAAGGTCACTAGGAAATACCAAATTATGTTTATCTGAGAGTATTACAACTTTTTCGCATCATTTACTGAGGAGAAGTTTGTACGAAGAAGACGATAATCTGGTTATATGAAGAACTCTCATACAGTGCTCTTCATTGATTGGGCAAAGGCTTCGCTTTACCGTGATATAATTCAATCCGACTATATTTTCATTCACACCACGGAGATAGTGGAGATTTTTCTCCACAGGTAGTAATGGCTGGAGTGATTTTCTAATACATGTAAACTTCTTTTCTTCATTTTCCCACTACCTATGAAATGGTCTAAAACGGCGCTAAGTCTTACTTTTATTACCTGAATGAAAAATGAGTGAAGAACTCACAAAGCGGAGCACTGATGAGCGTGTAAGTGAGACCAAGCGAGTCAGCTGTCATTCAAAGCTCTTCAGCCGTTTCCGAATGAGCAAAAACAGCTTCACTTGACAGAATGCAGCATTGTCTGCAGCTTTATAACCTTAAAGCCAAGATTGGAACCGAAAAAAAGACATTATAATATGAACTATTCCTTGATACCGTTAAGGGGAGTGAAAATTCTTGTCGAAATATATATAAATTGACTGCGGCGCGCATCCTGATTGAGTGGTCATCAGTGAAACGAAGCCTGGGCAAGATATCAATATCTATAAAGTCTACATAAGTGTAGAAAATGTAAAATGGAGAAAACAGTAGGAATAGTTGCACATAAAATGTACGGCAAATAAAATAGTACCAGCGTAGGTGTGCAAAAATCAATAAATTCTTGAAAACGTGACCTAAGAGGTGTGATAGACGCAGGGATTTCAACGAAGAAAACAAAAAGTAACCACTACTGCTTCATACAAAGTCGATCAATGACAGCTTCTCTCAAATTGACCATATATGAAGAAATCATACAGAAAGCAAGTATGATCGATTAGTGATTGACTTTTTTAAATTCATTGTTGTTTAAACCCTCAATTTGCTACTGCTGATATGACGAAATAAGAGAGGCTTCACGGACGGCAAAGAAGGACTATCAATGAGCGGCGAAAAAGGAGAAACGTAGTCGAATGAATTTATCGCTGACAAATTTTTCTACAGTCGATGTCTTGCGGCCAATAGGAGCAGTATAACACCTTCTTGAATCGATCATATAATATATGCCTTGCTAAGGCCGAATTCTGACAACATATTTTGAGCCTTTCTTGAGGTTTCTCATGGCACTTATAGAGTGCAAGGCACGCGCTTCGGCATTACAACCTCATCAGTAGCAAGTTGCTTTTAGTCTGAGCCAATCTCTTGCAGAGGCACACCCACTACTTATAAAAGGTTCGATGGCGAACAACTTACACTGCACGTGTGTCAAGTGAAAAGGTCAACATATTTTACAATCATTATTTGAGCCAACATGTCATTGATCTCTTAATGGGCTCTTGTACAGCGCGATACACGCGTTTCAGCCTTGAGCAGCCTCGTCAGTCGGGCAAGGCCTCACTTCATCTTTATCCAATCTTCTCGGGGTGCTCCAGTCATCCATTGAGAGTAGCCGACGGGGCAATTGAGCGTACAACACAGCCTATCTAGTGATTTTTCACTTAACAGCAAGTTCGTTGTTTGTTGATTGGGGAGATAATCTTTTGATAATATCGAAGACTTATAAAACAGTCGAACATAGAGTTGCTGAAGAAATGGGTGGTGCAGATGTGCCTACGTGGTGTAGTGGTAGAAGCGTTTATGGGAAGCAAAAGCTTCCTTAAACCATGATTCCCAAAACGCAGTAAACACATATGGACTAAGACTTCAGATTCACTAGGACATCAAACCCAGACTGAAAGCGTGATCGGATCAAAAACAAACTCACTTCCACAGGAAGATTATCAAGAGTGATCAATTATATGCTATATTCACACAGGTGAGCCAAACTGATATGTTCGTTCTACTGAAAGAAAAAATATTCTCAAATTTGGAAAAATGAGCGGCATCCTTAATTTATACGTTCCACACAACAATCATGATATTCAATTAAGTTAACAGACCAGTTAACAAATAAACATTGAAGAAGGAGTATGTAGCACCGCGGTAAGAGAATATCGCACGAGCTGTTGTCAGTTCGATCGCACGCCTTGGGTTCATTAAGCACCGCATCCCTTTGGGGCTCACAAATTGAAACCTGCTCGGGAGAATGGTCGGACCGACTTGATAGATTGATAGACTCCGAATAGTCGTTGTATAAGCCACGTATGAACTCACTGACTTTTTACGATGTTCGTGAGCATCTATCAGGTTCTATCAATGATAAGGGTTTCATCTTTGTGGCTTTTTATGCATTATAGGTGTAACATGATAAAATTTCGACATTTACAACATTTCCATGTCTATATGATCACATAAATTGGAAGTATTCTCAAATGAGGGATGTTGCTAAGCTATCGAGGAGAAAGAACATACCATAAACATTTGCACAGCACTTATCAGAACCGAATTATGCAAACAATTTCACAATTCTATTAGATAACACTTAACGATCAAGGATCCTAGTGAAGTGAAGAGGACAGGAGCACAAATGATCCGAAACGAGACTCAAAATTGAGTTATTGGTGTGACTTTGTAAACGTTTTGAAATCAATGGTTTTCTGACTACGGAGACAACACTTCTGGAGTTAAAGACAGGCCAAAACCTCTGATTTGAACATTTGGCTGAGAAAGGTTAAGCAATTCGATAAGATCACAGTTTTGCGCTCTTCGGTCAGATTGTTCGAAACGTGTATTGTACAATACTGCAAGACATACAAGATCGAATTGGACTTTTCAGTTGCAAACCTCGTGAAGAATCCATCCACTTTGACAACAAGTTGAAACAACAGAGAAAACGATTCAAAAATTATGAATGCTTATGGCGACTGCCCGAGAAGATGAAGTTCAACGAGTGAGAGACGAATAGAAGTGGAAGTATTTCTTGACGTGATGTAGGCGCCACAGGCACGGAAGCCATTTGCACCTACCCTTTGAGACGTGAAATGTATTATCAGCTGCTTCTCGCACAAGTCACCCACAAAGGGAATCATTCAAGTACCCATCTATGCAGGTATCATTATGCATTCTCAATCTCAAGATGTTTTACATTACTTGATAAGTCTCGACTGCAATTCTTCAATGTTCTACATATCCTTGGGAGATAATCTTAGCAAGAAGAAAAAACACCTCATGTCACTGAGCATAAACTGGAAAGTATGAGTACTGAGATACGAAAGCTTCTATTGTAGTTAAACCAGTTTGTCTTTCGAGTACGAAACTGAAAAAATGTTGTGAGCCTCTATTATGGAGGTTTCTTAGAGATGCAGCTTACAGACTTGAGAACAAAGGTTTTTATGACCCTTATAAAGCCTCGCTGTCCTTCCCTGTATTGGCGGTGGCTTCTTTCCCTTTGAAAATTTGAGAAAAATTTGGTGAATGTTCTACGATTTTTTCACAAGGAATTGACACGATTCGATTCAGTCTGGGTTTGATGTCCTAGTGAATCTGAAGTCTTAGTCCATATGTGTTTACTGCGTTATAGGAATCATGGTTTAAGGAAGCTTTTGCTTCCCATAAACGCTTACTTGCAACGAGCTCTGTTGCAAGTCTTCGGAATCAGAAAGCGTGAACAGTTCAATCACAGTTCTCTGTTCATCGGAAATGAATCGAAAAGGGCAGAGCACTTTGAATTCTGATCCTGTCCTCAAATAGAGCCCATTATACCAATAAGTAAAGTGCTGTGCAAAGCATGTGCGTCAACCGGGATTTGAACCCAATTCTCACTCTTTTCGGGAGCGCGTGCTGAATAGTTGCAATACCGACGCTCGTTTTGGACAACACTATTCCACGTTACAACGCGTTACCTGTCAACAGCCAACCATCGACGCTCTGGCGGGGCAGCCGCTATCGGCATTGAACTCACTTATGCTTACTGATATTGGGTATCAGTAATCAATCGAAATTCATTTATTTGACGCTTTTGCGTTACGATGGTCCGATGAGATCGAATGTGAATGACTAATTTCATGTCGTCTTAATATTTCATATTTCATTGAAGCATTCGACTTGTAAGTCAGATTTACTACACTGGATTTTCTCTTACAGCATTGCTCTTTTGTGAGCACTCTATGTAGCCGATAAGCTTTACTACAGAGACATCTATTTCGCAAATACTTTCCGGCATAGTAAGATGATCGACAAGTTTATATCTACGGTAGTTGTTTCATGCTCAATTGACTATTTGAATTATGTCGACGTTTTTGTATGTGATCTTAAAGTGTTCTATACGGAATTGGTATAAAATTTGTCAAACCCTCATTAATCTTTTACACATGTGTGGAGTGATACAATAGTTTGCAATTTCTTTTTCAAAGAATATAAGTTATTATGATGTAAAGTGGCACATTTCAACATGCAAATCATCATTTGATGCTTACAGTGACCAAACTGGAAACGAAATCAACAGTGCGATTGAAATGTAGGGTAATTATGGAAGTGAAGTGATGTTGGTTGAGAAAACCTACCTCATGTTATCAACACGTGCCTGTCAGCCACATTGAATTACGGAAAAGTCTCAGTCTGAGGACACAATTCTTTTGTATACAGAAAAGTAGGACGTAGTGGTTAAAGGGGCCTATGACATACATAAGGTGATGGTACAATGTCTAATAAGACATACTATATCTTCCATATCAGTAGGGTCGACGAATTGGTGTCAGACATGTTTGGGGCGATAGCAGCACTGACTTGATATATCAGTAAGCCACTACGAGTCGAATATGCAGCATATGCATCCAATTACCGTAGGCAGGCTATGCTTGATGAAGTCGATTGGTTAGCTGCACACGACATTTGAAAACTGCTTTCTGAGTAAATATGGATGCCAACTAAATTAGGATAGAGGGATGGTAAGGGAGAAGAGGGAGATGACCCAGTTAACAAGAAGTCAGGGAGCAAAGTGCTGATTCGACCCACTTCCACTATAGTCGTCGGCATTCACCTGAGAGCGCCATAGCGAGGCCATAATCAAGATTGTAGAGATCTGACTTAATTAGTATCTTATGACATTCATCAAAGCGATAATATAAAAGCACCGAGCTAAATAATACGCAAAATGTCCAGCAACCTTTGGAGCGATGAACGCGTATAAACGAATCCAATGCTAGAAGTATCGAGATACGTACGACATGCTGTGTTAAACGACAGTGTAAAATGAAATAAAACAAACAGACAGAAATTTTTGGCACTATTCACAAATGGTAAAAATCGCTTTTGTAGTTCAAACAGTTTGATAATCTTTATCATTCGATATGCATTTTCTTTTACCCACACGAATACACCGTTTGCCTCACGCATTCCTTGAACTATGTAAAGAAAATGCAAGAGTCTCCATTGACATACGAACTGAGAATGTTGACAGTAGATTGCCGATTAACTCAATAACAATTGAACGTACTTATTTAGCAATTTCACTATGCCAATATTTTTTAAGACCTATGAAGTACTTGGAAAATGAGTACTTGTCAAACTGTATTTCTCGCTCTTTTGCTGTTATCATAATCATAGTTTCCTTTCCAAATCCCTGCTCAAAAGTTTTTCAGTTGTGTTTGAACTGCGATGTAACAGTTACAAAAAAATTTTCAAAAGAATTTCACATGCCATCAACATCTACGAGAATTCTCCAACAACATGTGGATTTGGCTCGCCCAGCCCTTTATTGCCCAAAATGGCATCCTCGGCATTAAAAAGCATAAGGTAAGCTAATTTGGGTCTACAAAAACACATTGCTCATGAAAAGTGGCTAAATTTGTGTTTCTTGACAAAGGCAAAAAACTTAGCATACAAACCCTCTAAGAAAACAGATGGGTCAACGATTGTCAATGTCATACCTTAAGAGCGGCCACAAAGATTTTTCTGCTATTGTTCCTTGTGATGTTTACTGGTTCTTATTCAGTGATCGTATCAAAGCCGCACCATTATGTGTCAATTATTATTACCTTAATGATTTATACTGTTTTGGCTTTTCTTTGTTGGTTGCTTATACTATACTACACTCACTGCAATGGATTAAGCATTACGATGATCCCACGTTCCAATAATCAGGTATTGTCACTTGGATGTCAGATTCTTCATTCTAAGAATACCAGCGTGGATCCAAATGAAGCTCCAGAGATCTAGGATAAGAAGTCTGTGACAAAGACAAAGGCCACGAGTTTATGTTTCAGCCCAACTATGAGTAACCATTTATTTGTCTACTCGCAAGAGATATTCGATTGAGAAGGATCCGTTGAGAAATCAGATTTGTGATCGATATTTATTCCAGAACAAAACCGAAATTATGCCGTATCTATAATTTTGAGATGAAGCTATTTCAGCTGCAGTTCTTTGTTACTTTACAAGGAGTAGCTACATGACATTAATGACGTTGAAGTATTAAGATAAAATGAGATCAGGAAAAGGCGGAATGACAAAGGAGAAGAGACAGGCGAACTGATACTTGACGAAAAATGAGTAACTTGAAAAATGAATAAATTTGCGGCACTATGCACAAATGGTAAAAATCGCTTTTGTAATTCAAACAGGCTGATAATCTATACCATTCGATGTGCATTTTCTTTTACCCACACGAATACATCGTTTGCCTCACGCATTCCTTGAACTATATAAATTTAATGCAACAGAATCTCCATTGACATACGAGCTGAGAATATTGATAGTAGAGGTCCGATTAACCCAACAACAACTGAACGTACTTATTTAGCATTTTCTCAACTGCTAATACTTTTCAAGACCTTGAAGTACTTGGAAGATGAGTACTTGTCAGACAACATTTCTCGCTCTTTTACTGTAAGTTTCACAGTTTAATATTCAAAGTTTTCTTTTCAAATGCCCTGCTCAGAGAAGTTTCATTTGAACAGTGATGTGATAGATATAAGAAATTTTTCAAAAAATTCTCACATGCCACCAATATCTACGAGGTCATTCTGGCGTCATGTAGATTTGGTCGCCCACCCCTTTGTTACCCAAAATGACATGCTCGGCAATAAAAAGCATAAAGTAAGCTTATTCGGGTCTACAAAACTCATCGCTTATGAAAGAAGTGGCTAAGTTTGTGTTTATGCTGACAAAGGCAAAAACCTTGACATACAAACCCTTGAAGAAACAGGTGGCTCGAACGACTTTCAATGTCATATTGCGAGAGCTGCCTCAAAGACTTTTTTGCTACTGTTCCTTATGATGTATAACTGGTTCTTGTTCAAATCCAATCAAAAACCGCATCATTATGTACCAATTATTATACTATCTTAAGTATTTATACAGTTTGGCTTTTTTTTTGTTTGTTCCTTGTACTATACTTCACTCACTCTAATGGATTAAGCATCACGATGATCCTACGTTTGAGTAAATGCATTCTAATGTGGATGTCGATTCTTCATTTTAAAAATGCCAGTGTAGATCTAAACGAAGCTCCAGAGATCTAGAATAAGAAGACTGTGATAAAGACAAAGGCCACGAGTCTGATGTTTTAGCATAGAAACCATTTTTTTTGTCATGCAATTGAGAAGGATCCGTTGAGACATCAGATTTGTAATCCATATTTTTCCAAAACAAAACCGAAACTATGCTGTACTTATTAATTTGAGATAAAGCTATTTCACCGGCAGTCCTTCGTTACTTTACAAGGAGTAGCTGACTACTTTACCAGGAGTATATGACGGTAATGACGCTGAATTGAGATAGATTGAGATCAGGAAAAGGCTATATGACAAACTAGTAGCGACAGTTAGACGAACTGACATTTGACAAAGAATGAATAGCGTAAACCGCCTTCCACATTTATAAACCTAAAAGATGAACACGACTGCCAACTTGTGGAACGTGATAGCCAATGGACTGCGCATTTATGCCGATCAGTTCAGAATGTAATGTTTATGAGGATCTTGTGGAATCGATCGACCGTCGCCGTTGCAGGTCCTTGTATCAGTTAGCTGATGCTAAATTGAAAATTCCATTGATTGATGATTACTACATTTTCCTGGATGAAATTTTGCTGACTATTCTTCTTCACATTTCAAGCATTTGTCTTACTGTATACTTATGCGGCTTGAATAAAACTCGTTAGTTTGCTTCTTACGATGTCTGTACTTAAGGAACGAATTGTGGTTAAGTGCAATGATTTGGTCGTCTAGGGTTCTTTCCGTCAGACGGCACGGGGTCAAAAGCCGACCTTTCGCTGGGCAAGAACTTTTCATAAAAGTGGTAGAATTTGTTCGAAAGCCTATCTCTCGTTAGCGCCTCAAGTGCCGTTTTTCTAAAAGATTTCTATATAACCGCTGTGATTTTTAAAAACAAAATTATGTTTCGCATCGGATGCGCAATTCGACTATTATTTCGCTGATAGCACGAAAAGCACATGATTGAGTAGAGGAAATCTCTTAGTGTCGGAGTCGGGCGTTAAAGCAAGAGTCTCTTTCCAGAATGGACAAAACATACCTGATCAGATAAGAAAAATCGCATTTTACTTAGGCGCCATCGATCGATGGTCACAACAACTCTCTGTCCTCTTCCTATCTCACAGCATGAATTGGCCAGAAACACTTATGCAAATCAATCTTATTTTCCATGCTGCACTGCAGAGTAACGGTCTTTTTTTCATAAAAAATTAGTACACCTTTGTAGTCTTAAAATCTTACGCTACCGAATCATTACTAATAGTCTATAGAAAGAGCCCATTCTTTAGAGAAAAACTCGTATAAGAAGCACAAATGTTTTTATTTTCTTGAAGAGTTACAAACAGACTTTTTAAAAAGCCGGTTAAGCACTG